GTGCATATTGCGAAGTGGTATTTAGTTTTTATATTTACAGGAGTGGTATTCCACAACAATGATATTACAGTCTATTTTGGAGTAGGGGTCTACCAGGTGCTGTGGTGGTTGAACAGTCTGAATGCTGCAGGAAGGAAGGACCTGCACTCCTAAAGGCCTCAGTCTCCTCTGCAGACACAGTTGTGTGTTCTTCTGCATCTCTTTACAATCAGTTTGTGTTTTTTTGCATCCATTTATATTTGTGAGTCTTTATATGTCATTTGTTGTAGTTGTTCTGTCTATGTAGTCATTGTAGGTCTCTCTGAGCAACATTTTGTAGGCAAAGGCCAGCGGGCCCCATGACACTCTTGGCCTGTGCCTGCTAGGGATGTTTACTAATCCATCCATGGGTCTAAATACAAAACGTGTAGATGGTTAGAGTACTCTATCAGCAACTTTGGAGGGCCCTGTTCCAGTTGAATAATGCCAATACACATTATCAGTTTGCAGAAGTTAAAAAACAACTGTTAGTGGAACATTGGTGCCTCCTGCTTTCCTCAGGTAGAGGCATGTATTTCTGTCTGCCACGGGGTATTTTTGACATTGAAGTAATACATTTTAAATACACTTATGAATGTGTTAAATGTCTTTATTTCAATGTAAAGAAGGGCAAAAATACACAACATTCAAACCATTGTTTCAGTCAAATAAATGTTCACTTTTTACCCTATTTAGATTCATGTTGATGAAAAAAATCGAAACTATGTCAACTTAAAGTAAAATATGGTTAAAATATATTTACTTGGCTAGATCTGGTAGCCAAGTAAAATTAAAAAAATTAAAAAATTTGCTCTAGCCTAACGGTTTTATTGATTTTCTATATACATAGGAAGTGAGAAATAGAAACTTAAGGCAGACTATTATTTCTTGGAATGAGCAACAATGGATGAGCTCTTTCCCCAAATGCCAAAATAAGGTCGATTTCCAAGTCTGACATGCAGTGATATGATTTGATAATTGAGTAATTATTGTATCCTCCTCCATGATGGAAACTATCCAGGCCAAACCCTAAACAACACAATAGATTCAGCTGATGATTATACTGTAGGCTCAAGAGGAATGCAAAATGTCTGGAGTCACTATTTTCCACTAGGATCAAAGTCTAACCAGAGTGATACACTTCAGTTTACTCTTCAAAGACAATGAATCAGTCATGCGACACCTAAACGGTTAACCTTCCAAGAACATCTAGCATAAAACTACTGATGTATGACACCAAAGTATCACTTTCACTGGCTGAGGTAGCTGTGGTTTGTGGTTTATACTGCTCAAAGCAACACAACACCCACACAGTGGCTTTGATTGTTGTGTGTTGCATGTGTCAAAGGAGATCTGCTGTCACCTAGTGCCCCTTAAATGATATTGCAATTTTATTAGTCAAATTATCACCACAAGATTCTAGATTCAGAGATTCAAAGGTTTATTGTCATGACATATACAAAACTAAGGAGTAATTATGTAATGTATGAAAAACTTAGATCGCAGGTTTCTCAACAGTGCAATTTACAAGATATAAAAAAATATATATAAAAAACAACAATACAAATAGTGCAAGCTCAGGTGTTTAATAGCCTTATGGCCTGTGGGATGAAACTGTCCCTGAGTCTGGTGGTTTTAGTCCTGATGCTGCGGTACCGCCTGACAGACGGCAGCAGACAGAACCGTTTGTGGCTGGGGTGATGGGGGTCTTTGATAATCCTGAGGGCTTTCTTCCTGAGCCGCTGGGAGTAGAGGTCCTCCATGGATGGCAGCTCTGTCCTGGTGATATGCTGTGCAGTTTTCACCACCCTCTGTCAAGGCTCCATTTTAGGACCTTTGCTTTTTAATATTTATATGCTACCTCTGGCTGAAATTATTAAAAAGAGCGATCTAAGCTATCACATCTATGCAGACGACACCCAGATTTATTTTAAAATTACACCGGGAGACTACTCTCCGATTAGAACACTGAGCAAGTGCATTGAGCACATCAATACTGGATGACTCAGAACTTTCTCCAATTGAACAAGCAAAAAACTGAGATCATTGTTTTTTGAGCAAAGAAGGACCGATTAAAAGTAATCGCAGAGCTTCAGTCGGCAGACTATAAAGTAACTCACAAAGCAAGAAATCTGGGTGTAGTGATGGACTCAGACCTGAATTTTAACAGTCACATTACAACAGTCATTAGGTCTGCATACTACCACCTGAAGAATATATCAAGGATTAAAAAACTAATGTCGCAACAGGATGCTCTCTATGATGCACCTGTAGAAGGTCAGGATGCTCTCTATGGTGCACCTGTAGAAGGTCAGGATACTCTCTATGGTGCACCTGTAGAAGGTCAGGATGCTCTCTATGATGCACCTGTAAAAGGTCAGGATGCTCTCTATGGTGCACCTGTAGAAGGTCAGGATACTCTCTATGGTGCACCTGTAGAAGGTCAGGATGCTCTCCATGGTGCACCTGTAAAAGGTCAGGATACTCTCTATGGTGCACCTGTAGAAGGTCAGGATACTCTCTATGGTGCACCTGTAGAAGGTCAGGATGCTCTCTATGGTGCACCTATAGAAGGTCAGGATACTCTCTATGGTGCACCTGTAGAAGGTCAGGATGCTCTCTATGGTGCACCTATAGAAGGTCAGGATGCTCTCTATGGTGCACCTGTAGAAGGTCAGGATACTCTCTATGGCAGGGGTTCCCAAAGTGGGGGTAAAAAAAAGATGATTCAAAATAAAATAAAATAAAAAATTGTTTTAATTTGTTTTATTATTATTATTATTATTATCCAGTGTTTCCCACATAATTTAATTATATTTGTAGGGGCACCGCATTTAAATGTCCAGCGGAAAGCTAACCAGGAAGTGTTTTAGCACACCACGTGACGCATCTGAACGAATCACGTTGTCAGAAATTGACACCAGCCAATGAGATTTCGTTTTTTGGTTTAAGACCCCTTTGTACTTTCACGATTGGTTGCCGATACAAAGGAAATGACCATATTGGATCCGATGAGATTGTGCAGGAGAGACGGAGGCTGAAGTCGAATAGTCCATTTAGCTTAGGAACCTTCCTAACGGAGTGAAACGACCCGGAAGTCCCTCAGTGGCAGCCATGATAAGTGCCGTTCGAATTCTCTAAATGAAAGGAAAGGAGGTTTGAAACTTCCTTTATAACCTCCTTTAGCTTAGGAACCACTGGACCTCCCTCGCCGAAAGGAGAGGAGAAAATGCTGCCCCACAATGCCTTGCGGCCGCAGCATTTGCCGTCACACAACAGTCGGCCGTTCACGGAAACAACCGATTATGACCGAGAAATTATATCATGAAAGTTACGGTGCTTATTAAGCATTTTAAAACGTATGTGGTAAGTTGTCAAAGTGCTTTGTTTTGAACGTTCAGCAGTATTATAATCAAAAAGAGAAATATGAACGTTAGTTTTTACTGAAATGATCAAATAAAGTCAACATTTCACAGTCTTTACTGAGCTGTGTGGGGTTTGTTCAACTTTTAAAAGATGTTTGAATGGTGATATACACAGTGATAGATGTTAAAGGTAGGGTAGGTAAGTTTGAGAAACCGGCTCGAGATCGCTAGAATTTGAAAATACACAGCCGGAAAAAATCTGCCACTTCCTTATAGAGCCCCTCCTCCAACACACACGAACGCGCACATGACCAATGAGGGCACGAGATAAGTTTGTGCACAGATGGAAGGCTGACAGGCAGGTAGGCCATCCAGTTATTTTAGCCGGGCCGGCTAAAATGATTGGTCGTGCTTTTTACAGTATTACGGCTTCCACAGATGACATTTTATGGATTTTTTGTCAAAGCACTTGAGATATTCATTGCTATCGGGATGTTAAGAGCATTCCATGGAATATAACAAAAAGTGTATCTCGAGCCGGTTTCTCAAACGTACCTACCCTACCTTTAAGGGCTAACGTTTATAATAAATACATCTGTATTGATTTTAAGATCTTTTCATAGTTCATACAATCATACGTATTGGGATCATTTGTATTAATGTGGAGAGGGTGACGAGGGTGACGAGCATAAGTTTCACTTTCCTTTTTTATTTCAATTCTTTGTACATTTTCCTTCCAAAAGCCTGAAAGAAAACATGTTATGGAATCAAAATAGCACAACATATCAAAATTGCATGAAAAACAATGTTTTTGCCTGCCGTGTCTCGTGTCTCGCCTTAATTAGTGAGACACACCGGAGTTGAGGATCTGTGGGGTTTGTATGTCGATGTATGGGAAACACTGTTATTTGACAATTCACTAACAACCAACCCCCCCCCCCCTGGTTACATTGGCTACCAGTCAGTTTTAGAATACATTTTTAAATGTTACTGTTCGCATGCAAAGCCCTAAACGGTTTAGCCCCACCGTACCTGGCAGATCTTTTAAAACCATACACACCCACACAGTCACTGAGGTCGGCTGACAGATTACTTCTGGTCGTCCCAAAATCAAGGCTAAAGCAGCGAGGAGACAGAGCCTTTGCTGTTGCAGCTCCAAAGTTATGGAACGAATTGCCCCTCCAGGTTAGACTTGCTCCAACTCAGCCTGTTTTTAAATCTCGTTTAAAAACCCACTTCTTTTCCCTTGCATTTACAGACCAGGTGACACTTGTGCTTTTAAATGTGGGTTTTTATCTTACTAGTGTTTTGTATTATTTGTACGTCATGTAGGAGAGTTTCTCAGTCTGTGGCTTCTGATCTGGTTTCATTGTCTCGTGTTTTACATTTGTTTCATGTCCTGTCTGTTTTTTATGTATTTATGCTATGTTTTTATACAGTTGTTGATGTACAGCACTTTGTTCAACTCTGTTGTTTTTAAATGTACTATAGAAATAAAATTGATTGGATTGGGTGTGTGTTAGAGAAACAAATCCACTAAAAGTTACAATATATCAAACTTTATTGAAAAACGTTTTTGAAACATAAATCTACATTTTATACATGGTCATACTAAAATACACTTTAAATCCAATTTATTATAAAATATAAACACATCTTGACAAACATAATTTAGGGACATTATCCTCAGGCACCTTACAGTCTTATGGTTGACACAAAACGAACAATTGTACATGTCACTCAATAGATAATGAAAAATAAATAAAAAACATTAATTCACAAATGTATTTAGACCGCATTCACCACAAATGAGAGGACAAATATCAAGAACTGTACATTTAGCTACTGATGATTCACTGGCATGATGAGGGGATGATTCCTCAAAGATCTTAAAGATAAGATCTTCTCAAACGGTTTGATCTACTAAAGTACGAGACTGAAGCCAAATGGAAATGATTCTGCCGTCTTCTGCCCTCAGTTAAGAGTCGGCCCTTTTCGTTTGTCAGCAGCCTTTTCCCACAGTCCACTCCTCTCTACACCTGCAGAAAGAAAGAATTTAAAATCAAACTCTTTGTAAAACAAGGTGCAATATGCCTTCACAGAGGCGCAATCATTATGTTTAAAGTTCAGCGAGAGAAAATAGAATGTACCTGATTAGTGACGTCTTTGATGTTTCTCATTCAGCTGTCTAATGTAACTCTTCACCCAGGCTTTATCGTTGGGATGGGGGACGCAGAGGGTTTTTCCAACTTTTGAAACAAACCTGAAAAAGCAGATAAGAGACACAGAGGTGAGAACACTAAACAGAATGCTGAAAAAAACACACAAAATAGGAGAATCCAGCTCCTGTAAAATCACAGGGCATCTAATAAAATTACTTTATTTTAACACTAAATGGATACAAATATTGTACGTACACAGTAGCGCTGATGGAGCATCCTTGTCCAGCATCCTGAATGGTGTAGCTTAGTAGGATTTGGAGCGGCAAACGCTTCTCAGCAACCTTGATACAGCAGTCTTGGGCAATCTGGGCTGGAAGAACACAGAGAAACAAATTCATCAGGAGAGCACATGTGCATTAAATGAAGGAAAGTGTCCATAGACCTGGGGCTTTATCGATTGAACCTAAGTTGCAGGAGTGTACAGCAGGTGAGAAAACATGCTCCTTACAGTCACTGTCAAAGCATTCTGAAATACCAATCTATTTGACTGCTAATGCAAAGAATGTGTCTTACCTGATGCAAACCCAACGCAGATGACACCCAGCAAGAGGAGAAGTGCAATTCGAGAGGCCATGTCTCTGTTTCTTCGCAGGTCTGAGCTCAGGTTGGTTCTTCAGGGAGTCTCTTCAGGAGTGCAGAGGTGTTGCTGTGAGGAGGAGAGCTACAGGTGTATTTATACAACTCTGTGGCGAAAGTGAAAGTGTGATTGCTGGTCGATGACGGGAAACGGGAGAAAGTTGGCAACAGACTGCACGTGCACGGCCAATTTCCTCTCTTTTGTTTCTTGCTAGAATTTTCCAACGTGTCTTTTCAGATGCTGCCCTGAGGCAGATCTTTATCAGTTCAGTTGTATTCCATGAGAAATACCTTCCATGCTTCATGCAACCCATACATGCGTTATAGTTAGACAATCCATTCATAAGCACAAGCATAAATCAGCAAATACTGTATATTTTCAATTTGACTTTTTTTGCAATCCAGCAAATTGCAAACATTCCTGTGTTTCCCTTTAACATGTCCTCTTAGCAGGAAAAAGACCTTCACATTTGAAGTACAGTACATAAATACTGAATTGGCCAAATTGGGGCCCTATGCGAAAAGTTGTCATGAGGTGACCTGTCCTGTTTTGTTTTTTGTATTCTTTGTTGTATGTCGTTGTATGTCGTGCAACATGATGGTCGGTTAAGTTCTGTTTGTCTTCCAGGATTATTGTTAAAATAAAATAAAATGATTATTCAATATATATATCTAATACTAGCCTGAGGCTTGCTAGTACAGATGTAGTTGTTGTTATCTGTCCTATAAGCACATCTAAAGAGAGGTATACAGTTGAATTGAAGTGTAAGGAAGTGGATGGTAAACTGTAAACCAAGATAACCAATCTTTATCTTAATATGTCTTTATCTTGTCTCTTCAGTTATAATCCCACATTTGATTTCGAAGTGGTGACAGTGCGGTTTGGGGATGTTTCATTAAATGCGTTCAGTAAGCACCACAGATGCTTGTCTGTGTGGGTGTTTTTGCATGTGTGAGCATGCATCCAAATACTGAATACAATCTCTAAGTGTGGGAGTTTTTGAGGAAAAGGAGATCTTTTTTCATGCCAGAGGCGTAGGTTTTGTAGAGTGATGCAACTGAGGACATTTTGAGGCATGTGTGGATAAACTTGTTGGACAGGATGTTTTGACCATATATTTGTTTTTCATTTATTACCAGTTATTGTTTATTCCCACTGCTTAGGCAAAACATGATATCCATTTATTAAAGGAGTGGTTAAAAACTATAGGAACCACAAACTTTGTCCAGCAACTTTAATGTTTTGGTTTTCTCTCACTGTTTTTAAAGCGTTTTCAAATATTATAGTCATCAGAGATTACTCAAAATTAGTAAAATGATATTTCCACTGTTTATTTCAGACTATTTAGCAGCTAAGAACTCAATACAATTCCTTGTATCTTGTAACCTATAAAAGGTCAAAGTGACACTACAGATTCTACATTCATATGATGGCATCCATTTATAAAGTTTGCTGTAAACCAAAAACTAAATAAATAGAGGATGAATATTGGGCATTTGTTAGTGGACAGAAACAGGACCCCGAATGAATACTAATGTGGCTAAGTATCTGCAGGTTATAAAGGGGGGAGAACATGTTTTGAACAGAAGCAGTACATCTTGGAGTTCTCATAATGTAACATTATTTATTTGCAAACTGGGTGGTGATTATGTTTACCACTTATAATTTGACTTCTTAACATGCTCATTGTGATTTTTACTGTGCTTAATATTTTTGCCACATTTAAAGGCCAGTGTGAGTTCATGGTTTTGGTCAATGTATCCACTGTGTTCATGGGGAAGTTAAATTAAATGCCAGACAAATGGCTCAAAGTTCAAATAGCCTCTGTTACGCTTGTTTCAAAGAACAAAGGAGTTGTTTATTTTCATAGTGGCCCAGCATATTGCATAATTTGTGTGGAAAACAGTGAGAACGTGAGCTACAAAATACAAACCTTCCTAACCACTAGAGGTTCGTATTGTAAATACTAAGGAGAGATTAAATTGCACATCCTAAAGTAAACTGAAAATCAAGCAATAATTTCAAAGATGCTCTGACTGGCAGAAGCTCTTTAGCAGTTTAGTATCAAATGCTGGGATCACCACTATACAGGTGGTGTAATAAGGACATGGATATTAAGATAACATGGGGGGCCAGATGGTTTGTTACAAAGAGCCATCTGAAAAATCAAGTCATTGGAAACTGAACAGGGCAGGCACTTTAAAAAAAGACTTGGCAGCCGCATATAACTGATTCTATTGCAGCATTTAGGCTAATCTCGGAAAGAGCTGCAATTGGTGTTTTTAACAAACACCAATGCCAACCTGATTGGTCCAAACCATGGTGGTTTGGACACATACGTATAACTTGAAGCATATCAAGCTTTGATGTCATTTGTCAAAGGCTTACCTCAACTTTCCTGCTAGATCGAGGGTCACCATCGAGCCATCAACCTTTCCTAAACCTAACCCTAAGCCCTAACTGTAACCATACCCATCTAGGAAAGGAATGTTTTTCAGCTAGTGGGTTACCATCTAGACACATTCATGTTTATATGTTATTTTGATATTGTGGGGATCCCACATTTTCAGATATCAAATTACAAAACAAAATCTTGAATATGATTACAACATTACTTAACAGACAGCATTTAGTTATTATTAAAACATTTCTTCCTCGCTGTCTCTTTTATTTCTGCTCCCTTAACAGTCACTAAAAACTCATTTAATCCAGACATAGCTGCGGGGCTTGAGGCCGCTCAGCACTCAGAGGCTACCTGAATAATCAGTGTGTCAACATACCGTATGAGCCCATGTGATTTGTAGGTCCATTGTAGATGGAGCGTATTGATGTGAAACTGGATGTTTCAGAGTCGAAGCATATTCAGTAACTTTAGTTTGAAGTTACCTATTTTCTGGCTCTGTTCCTATAAAACAGTTGTGATCTTGTTTCAGCCAAGGTTTCACAGATGATTGTGGTAGATGACTGGCTTAGAGCCACAGTTTGGAATTCCATGATTACAGTTTGTTTACTTTGTAGTATTAAAGAGTAAACAAAATGGCTCTCCGACTGAAGTGTAATCACGTTGTTAGACCACTGGTTAAGGTTTACTCTCAACCTATTCAGGCCGATGGTGTACAATTGGTTTATCAGAGCTTCATTGCTGAAAACAGGGGCCTGATGTGCTGCTGGGAAAAATACTAAAGCACGTAAATGCTGAACCACACATAAAATAAAACCGAAATAGTATGTCAAAGGGCAAAAGGTTGCATAGAGCTGCAGTCTTGGTATTCAACCAAAAAGTGACCTCCAAGTTAAACACAAAAATCACAATACTCTTCTTTGTGGCATGATCTATGCATTTACTGCTCACACCCTGAGGACAACCACTCCTCTACTTGCACAGTCAACCTCCTCAATTCTCACATTGGAGTGCAAACAAGTCCGGGGAACCACGTGATTTTCAGGAAACAGGGAAAGTCTATAATGCATTTGTTATAAAAAGGAAGCAGGCAAGAAGAAATCGAAACTCAACTGAGCTAACGGAGCATGGTAGTGAGAGTGTAACTGCAGTTGTAATTGTACAGTATGTGCAGAGACTTGATTTAGTATTGTTTAACAGCTGCACTGCTTGGAGCACTACATCCCTGCAGAGCTGAATGTGCATTAGAGGGGCCCTATTATGCTTCTGGGTGTTTTCCCTTTCTTGAAGTGTATTATATAGGTTTTTGTGCATGTAAAGGCTAAAATCCCAAAGTTCCTCGATCGGCCTCCTTTGTTTACTTCGGTAACATAATGACAACACGCTAGTCGCTTTCACACCAAGTACTTAGCCGGTACTTGTCCCCGGTACTTGTTCCCCCCGAACTCTTTAGTCCCTCGAACTGTCCTAGTAGATCGCGTTCTCACCGCAATAAGTCCCCGAGGGAGGATTAGGCAAATGAAGCCGCTGACGTCACATCTTCTTCTTCTGCTTTGGGTTTACTGGCAGGCCGCAAACAACTTCACGGCCACCCACTGTACATGAGGAGTTGACTGAAGGTGTGGTTTTTGTGCTCATGTTATACAGCTTGGTAACTGAGTTATTTAAGCCAACTAGGGATATGACATAAATGCGGAGCCACCAGTCGAATGCAATAGCAATGCTGGTTCAGAAGCAAAGACGGTTAAAAACCTTAAGAAACGGATTGGACGTTGGTGCGCTGGGCTAATGCAAGCAAATAAAATGGCAGCTTCACAAAACTTTTCTGAGTTTTACGGTTTGCAATTCACCCAGCCAATCAGAAATTGTTAGCGTGGCCGACACACCCACGAACCATTTCCTACCCAGGAAATTACTACCTCGCTAGCAGGGACGATCTGGGGGTGAAAGGTTCGTGCGAACTAGGGACTAGGCCCAGATCCTTTTTGGCGTGAAACCAAATCTCCCCCCCCCTATCGGCCTAGTTCGGGGGGAAAAGTACTCCGGTGTGAAAGCGCTATATGTAACACTTGTGTTTCTATTGGCTTGCACTCAAACACATTGTTTGTGAAAGGCTAAGGTTGGGACATCTGTAAGTGGTTGACCAATCATAACAGAGCCGGTCAGCTAACCAATCAGAGCAGACCGGGCTCTCGTTTCTGACAGAGGGTGTTAAAGGGGACCTATTATGCTCATTGTTCACAATTGTATTTTCTGCTTACATGCTTTAATATTCCAAAAGGTCTTTATTTTTCTCATACTGCCAGTGCTGCAGCACCTCTTTTCACCCTCTGTCTGAAACCAGAGCCAATTCTGCTCTGATTGGTCAGCCGGCCAGCTCTGTTGTGATGAATCAACGGCATAGAGATATCCCGCCCCTTAGCCTATCATGTACAATGTGTTGGAGTGCTAGCCAATAGAAGCGCAAGTGTTATGTTGTGATGTCATTATGGCACCGAAGTAAACAAAGGAGTCCAATGGAGCCGTTTCAGATGGGGGGCCGTGGTCAGAGATGAACTCCCTCTGGAGGGAACTTTGGGATTTTAGGCTTTGCAGACCATTTACATAACACACTACAGGAAAGGGCCCCTTTAAAATGCATATCGAAGATCTGTCCTGCTGACATGTAGCAATCGGGAATTTGGG